TTCAAAAGCAACTCCGCGGATTTGAAACTTTTTTTCGTTTGGCTACATCTCGTATTTGCAACTGTTCGTTTTTTTATTTATTTTACATAAGGGTTTTATTTTAACGTTGATTGCATTTAAACCCGCTATATGTAGACATCGTTTCAGCCTCATTTATCGCTACACGATGATTTTACTACTATTCAGTAGTTTAACCCAAATCACTTCATGCAGTAATATACTAACAGAATAGAGAAATAAATTGATGATTAAGGATAAAAATGTTTTGACAAATGTCAGCCACGTATTTACTTTTCAATTAATACCATTCATTTCCCTAAGTCCGGTGATATTAAACATACACATCTGCGAACAATGGTGTTTCAAATGGACGGTTTTTCTCTTGATGGTGGAAACATAGGAATCAGGCAGCTATGTTCGATTTCCAGTCAAGTTCATTGTATTCTCTTACATGCTAATATCCTTGGGAAATGTATGAATCCATCTCTTGCCTCCCCATCTGTTAATACGCTAATAGGGTAGGAATCCATCTCCCCCTCTAACAGAACAGACTGGGTCCTATAGCCTTGTTTGGCAACCAATCAAGGAGAAGGAAAACCCTAAACTAAAACCACCTGCTGCTTAGTAGGTTCAGATGCTTTAAGTTATTAGAGAAGAGATAGGGTAACCTGAACATTCTGGCGCAAAAGGAACCAGCAAGCTTCAATGTCACCATGAACTACAACTCCGAGATGGAGGTGGGGGTGACCACAGCGGTGCAAAAATACACCGAATAAATGATGATCGGGATTACTCTTGATACACCTATTACTATATACTTACTTGGAAATTTCTATTCCTTTAAAAATCTATGATTAGAATTTTAATAAACCCCAAATATACGAAACTTCTTTCTCGAAAATTAACAATAAATATATTGAACATTGATTAGATTGTTTATGTACAAGAATAATTTTATATTTACAAGTTTATAAAAATATTTAAACAACATCACTTGACAAGATACCAGAAGTGTTGAAACAAAATAGCTATATTTGTAGTGATGTTATAACATATTTATGTTATAATTTGGAAATAAATACTATTTGCTCTACTCTGTATGAAGCACTCTTTAAGAATAGTGTTTTTGGTTATTGGAATTTTATTGCGTCTATACGAAACCTATATATATATATATATATAGATATATATATATATATTTTTGTGTTTGTGTAAGAGAGAGGCAGATCTGAGAGGTAAATCTAATTACTTTACTGTTATTCCACCTAATTTACCACTTAGCTGATCATCAAATGGTTCCACGAACTAGCTATGCGTAATTACATGATGCAGCATAAATCCATTTAGATACACACACACACACATATATATATATAATTATACATATACATATATATATATATATATATATATATATATATATATATATATATATATATATTCCCATACTCAAATATTTATTTTGCATGAGATCATACGTACACATATTCTAATGCAAACACACTTTCAAAAGCGTCTGGAATGATGAAATATATCAGAAAACACACACATATATAACACAACTTGAAATTAAGATTGATTTTCATGATAAATCTTTATTTAGCATCGAGAAAAGTATTTACAAGTTTCGTATTGTAAATAGTATCCAATCAATCATGATTCACCTCAAAAGAAAGTAAGGATAATTGAATGAAACTAAAAATATTTATCAATCTTTCAATATTTTCTTTCCAAATGAATTAATTTCTAATAAGCTGCATTCATTGGTTCTTAAATCAACCAATCATTGTTTATTAATGTCTGTATGTGTTTACGTTGAAAACAAAACGACAGTTTTGTCTGTTGCCGCCTAATTGGCCAATACATCAATTTTATTTCTAAAACAAAATAGATGCAACATAGTTCTGCAAATGAAATCTTGATGACGAATACGATGTTTCTCCACAGCTAACTAAAAAAAATGAATTATGAGTGATCTTTAGCTTAATCATATACATCGAGTATGCTTGGTCAGTTACGTATTTTTAAAATGTATTACATTTGACAGATGTGTGTGAATAAAATCAATGCGTTGGCCAGTTATAATGCAGCAGACAAAGCAGAGTACTATTGTTTGCAACACACGTAGAATAATTAACAATGATTGGTCGATTTAAGAACCAATGAATACAGCTCATTAGAATCGGTTTCATTTGTAATGAAAATATTGAATGATTGGAAAATGTTTTACTAATGTGTTGTTACTTGCGAAACATTTGGTCAGTTGTTGATGTTTTGGTGAAATGATTTCAGCTGATGTGAAATAAGTATTATTAATTTTTTTGCTGTATTTTACTGCTATCGTTTCTATGCAAGTTTTACTTAGTACAGCTGTTTTAAGTGAAAAAAGAAAAGAAAACAATTCTAGAAACTTTTGATGCTGCTACATATATATATATATATATATATATATATACGAGGGTGAGTCAAAAAGTAATGTAATTTGTTTTATTATATAAGAAATAAGGAACACAATGAAAGATATCGTACATCAAGATATAGCTATACATCACGGGTTCATATTTCTACTTCTCAACATAGTCACCACCTCTTTCAATGGCAGTGTTCCACCGATGATTGAGGGAAGGTATCCCAGATTCGTAAAACTCGGGTGGCTGCTGATGTAAACAATTTCTTACAGCAGTTTTCACTTCTTCATCACCACTATAATATTTACCCCTCAGTACCACTTTCTTTGGACCAAAAAGATGGAAGCCTTAGACTGCTAAATCAGGTGGTGATTAAGAAGTGAAACCTACTGTAAGAAATTGGCTACACACACACACACACACACACACACACACACACACACACATACATATATATATATATATATATATATATATATATATATATATATAAATTATTTTTTAAAAAATATGATTCCATCGCTACATAGAATTACCATGTTTCAAAACCAGAATCTAAAAACTTCCAATTCAATTATAGAAATTAAATTAATTTAAACTACCTAAACAGAACTAGGTACTTTAATTTAACTTAATTTCTATAATTGAATTTGAAGTTTTTAGCTTCTGTTTTTGAAACATGGTAATTCCTGTGTAGCGATGGAATCATATTTTTAAAAAACTAATTATAATCTAGGCTCTACTTGTGTATTGAGCACTGTTTTTTCTTAAATAAAAACAAAAATAGTAAAGAACTTCGGATCATCAATCTAACGGTTCTTTCCTATTTTATCAATATATTTGCACACACAGACACACACACACACACACATATATATATGTGTGTGTGTGTGTGTGTGTGTGTGTGTGTGTTGAAAGCTTGAAAACAGACTGTTGCCAATTGGTGTTGACATCCGTGTCGATATTTATACGTCCTCTCATAAATTTTATTCGTAGATATTACCACGGTTGTGCACAAAGAATCGCCCATTTTACTCCTGATTACCCTTCCTTTTTACGTCGTATAAATTCCAACTTGTACTTTAACATACTCCCTACGCCCCACTGTTTCTTTCTTTCTAGCTCGTTGAAAGTACTCATCTGCAGTTTCTGTTTTTAAGAAATTCGAGGAACATTCTGACCCCTCAAATTATCGCCTTATTAGTCTCTTATCTCTTTTTGGCAAAACACTCTACGCTCTAATCAAGGCTGAATTGGTTAAGCATCTTACTTCACACGGCCTCCGTCCGGAATAAAACAATATGGCCTCCGTTTTCGTCAGGTCGATGTGTTAACGGCCATCACTGAACTTATCTATCAAGCTTTAGATAAGAACGGCAAAGATCGAACTGTGCATCTAGATATCTCAAATGGGTTCGATAGGTTTTAGCATGCTGGCCTTCTCTTTAAACTCAATATTTGGCTTAATCAAATCCTTCCTAACAAATCGTGTAATGAAGGTCATACTGAACAAGCAGTGAACTGTTATGTAATATCAGTCCTCCTATGTGGCAGTGAATGATGAGGCAGAAGAGGAAGAGTCTTGAAGCAACAGAAATAAGCTTCTATATAACTGATGCAGAGAATACCATATACCGAACATCTGAGTAATGATGAAGTTTTAGCGAAAATAGATACGAAATGTGTACTTATACTTAACATCAGGAAGAGATTTTTGAAATTTATAAGGTATATAATGGGGAAAGAGGACTTGGAAAATTTGATACTCACAAGACAGTGTGAAAGCGAGAGGAAACAGAGGAAAACAACGCATAACCTACCTAGCGGGTTTGAAAGTTTAATAGAGATAAGAAAAAAGAAAAAAAAAAGTTACAAAGGAGATGAAATTGTGGAGAGCCATGATCGCGAACTGTCTGAAGAGACACGACGCATAAAAAAAGAATATGTTTGATATTTGCAACCCAACACATTTTTCTTACTGAGTTCTGCTTTATATGGTACAAAAATAAGGAAAACGAGTTTACGAAGTCTATGTTGCATCAGCTATCAAATTCTAGAGGGTGGCCTGTCTGTGTTGTTAATTAACATGTGTATTCCTTGTGCTCGTGAGAAATATGCACCAATCACAGCTATTAAGCTAGTTTTCTCTCTTGTTTAATGTGCATACATTGGTAATATCATACTTTTGGAGATTGGGCTATCATCTATGATTTTCTTTCTTAATGTAGTCGAAGCAAATCGCACAATGTCGTTGGATTGATGAACCGAAGTTCTTTCTTTCGCTTCTCCATACGCCAGTGATCATATTTTTATGCTCTGTATCTCTCTCACTATTTCTCTCTTACTATCTCCCTCTCACGATCTCTCTCACTCGCTCTCCTCTCTCTCTCTCTCTCTCTCTATCTATCTATCTATCTATCTCTATATATCTCTCTCCCCTCTCATATCTCCCTGTACTTTTGCAATAAGTTACTCTACTTTCATCAGACTCTTCTCTGTCCATTTGTAACCAATACGACTTACTCTTCCTTTCTCTCCATCATCTCTCTCCCTCCCTCCCTCCCTCTCTCTCTCTCTCTCTCTCTCTCTGCTTACGGTCACATTACGTTGAAACACTCGGTCCCGTACGATCACTGACGTTAAGCAACGTTGAGTCTGGTCAGTACCTAAATGGGTGACCGCTTGGGATTATCAGTTGCTGTAAGCTTGGGTGTGTGTGTGGTGTAATGCTCAGAATTTTTAATCAGAGAACTGAGTTCCAGTTCCCGTTGGGTTCGTTATATTCACTTACAGGGGAAAAAAACCCTTTGAAAAATATGAATCTATCCCCTCCCCAGCTATGGGTTAATTAGTAATACTTGTATTACTAAACCCTTATTAATTTTTTTAAAAAATCTTACAATCTAAAAATGTTTTTTAACTTTAAATTACCTGCAACAGTGTTGATAAGCCGTACAAAACGAATCAACCAAAAAAATAATTCTCTTTCTTTCTAGCACACATACACACTAATTTTCGATATCACATTTTTATTGTCTGTCTATATTTCTGAGATGAGGTATTATGTACACTATTTATATTATTCGGACTACTGTCCTCATCTTTATCGCCATATTTTTTACAATGTTTCGGCCGTTGTACGCTTCGGCCTTCTTTAGGTGGTTGGAATGTCGAATTGAACCCTTTATTTCGCTCACTAGGGTAGACTGTTCTAGTTCCACGTGTCATGTCTAATGGATGACAGTTATCAGGACACATGGCACAGTGGATAAAGGCGTTAGTTAGATCCAGTGATGGGACCCAAAGAGTGTGAGTTCAATACCTGCTTAAGGCGGTGGAGAACTTGGAGAGGGGAATTGACAGGAGATAACTGATAAATAGTGTACATTTTTATTGACTTTTTATTTTTCGTTTATTAGAAATTATACTTGTAAAATACCAGATAAAGTTATAACTTGACTAAACCGCAACCACTGTTTCGACATACTTACTATACAAATGCTTTATAAATCATCCTTGACTTTCCGACACAGATCTTTTGTGTGATATACACAATGTAAAAAATATGTTGATGAAAACTACTTTTTAAACATTTCTACTTTACTTTGCTGTCGTACACTAGATGACACGTCTAATGTTTACGACCCAACACAATGTTCTTTTATGAGAGAATATACAATTCATGTAAAAAATGGCGAAAGATTATAGAAAACTAGTGAAATGTTCGCTCTATTCATATGACCGAATAATGATGCTCTGTACTTATATGAATAAAAATAGTGTCAGAAATGTTAGAAATGTTGTCATCAATTTGTTCATAGTAAAGCACTGAATCGCAGACAGATCATTGAAACCTAATTTTGTTTTCGCTAGATCATATTTTTTTTTACGAGAGTGAAACAAATTCTCTTTGGGATTGGCTGTGTCAGTATAGAAAAAGTAGATAGCGCCAAAGATATTTGTGCAGTTTTGTACTATCTTCTTGTACGTGAAACGTATGAAAATATTCCGAAGATAAATTTGCATCAAGTCGAGTTGTTAAGAATGTCATTCTCTCCAGCGTTCTAATTACGGTTGAACTGGATTGAAATCGTTATGGTGGCTCCTTTTACAGATGTTCTATCCATCAAGATCGTCACACTGTTTCTCTGATGTTATTCACAGCGGAATAAACCATACCGTTCATAGTTTATTTTTATTATTTTGTTTGTGTTGTCACGCACATCACCTGTTCAGCTGTACATTGGTTTGGATGTCTCAGACAGGGAATAAGTATTTGAAAATTGACAGAAGACTCGTACTGTATTTTAAGATGTACCTGCACATGTCTTCTATGCTTTTGGTATGGATTTGGGTGAGAATCGTTGCACAAATGAAAAGCAGAATTGTTTATCTCTCTGTTAATTTCTCTCTTTCAAATGTACAAATCAACCATTCGCCCTTGCATGGAGTATTGCTGCCATATATGGTCTGGAGCCCCTAGTGTTTGCCTCGGGGTTCTTGATAAGATCCAGAGACGGATATGCAATATAATTGGCCCTGATCTGGCATCTCGTCTGCAGTCCCTCTCTCACAGACGTGCTGTCGCCTCTCTCTGTCTGTTTTACAAATACTTTCATGGTAATTGCTCCGATGAGCTGCTTTCGCTGGTTCCCAGACTTCGCGAATTCAAGCGTCCTACGAGGCTGGTATCCCGCTCTCACCCTTTCACTGTTAAAACTGTTAAATGTAGCCGCCTCTTCTACTCCAATAGCTTCATGTCACGCACCTCTCGCCTGTGGAACTCCCTTCCCTATTCCAGTTTCCCTGACGGCTTTAATCTCCAACTATTCAAATGTAATGTCAATCGACATCTCCAGTTGCCTTGATCTATCCACTATCCCTCTCCTCATCTTTTCCTCTATCATTCCTATCTGCTCTCGCTCCAAATCCTCTATAACCCCTTGCGTGTTAGTGACTTCCCGCCTTGCTAGGGGTGAAATGCTTTAAAAAAAAATACATCGGTAAAAATTTACTGTTTTTGATTATTAAAGTTTTTGCTCGTCTTCAAGGTTTTTAATCTGAATAGTTACTGCTGATTTTTTTTATTGGTATCTATACTTAGAATTAAAAAGAAACTGCTCAAAATTTTTTGACACCTAATGAAGAAAGAAAACTTGGAGTATTTGACACTCACAAGATATACTGAACGGAAAGAGAGGGTCTAAGGGAAGTAGCTAGTAACCTACCTAACAAGCTTGTATAGATGGATAACAGAAACAAGGATTGGATAGGGCAACAGAAAGATTAAACTTACAAAGAGCTACAAATGATAAGAAGATTTGGAGAACTATAATCGCCAACGTTTCTGTTAGAAGAAGAAAAAGATATAATGTACATGGTTAAGATATGGTCTTTTTAAAACTGTTCGACTTTTACAACTCGTCATTGTACCCAAATTTTAATAAATAAAAAACACTGTTCCAGATTCTAATAATAAAATTTAAACACAAAAACATTAATAATTTACAAAAACTAAACGACATTTCTCAATTAAACTAAGGACCGAATATTGTCTCATTCTCGCTGTGTACGTTTTTTTTAATATCTCAAACAAAAATCTATATTTATTTAAATATAGGTTTGCACAGGGTGTATAGTACTCCCCGCAATCGCTTAAAGCACATCGATGCCACTTAGAGAATTTACCACTCACAAGACATATAGAAATATTGAATTTCTGGGTAGTAGGGTCACATGTGAAATGTGAACTTACTATCATGTCCATACTTTGTATATCCAGAAAGTCGCTAACTATTTTAATGGAACGTATTAAAATTATCTAAAAAGATAATTCTAGAATGAATGTGTATTAAAGTATCAAGAGAAGTGTTTGACACGGCCGCTATTGATTTTAGTGCAGAGCTGAAAAAATTGAGCAGTATTTCGAAACATATTTCATGGTTTTGTTATTTGACACAATTCGCATATGGTGGAATTGCCCATGCAAAAAAAAATATCCCAAAGAATTATCGATGGATTGATTCGTTTTCTACAGGTTATCAACCCTTTGCGGTTTATTTATAACTAGAAAATATTTTTAGATTATAAGAATTTTTTAGCGGCAGGGGCGATAGTAACGGTTTTGTGATACGATTCTTATTAGAGGTGGATTCAGACCTTTCCCAAGATCATTTTGTGCGTAAGTGAATATAACGAACCTAATGGGAATTGGATCTCGCTTCTACGATTAACAATGCCAAGCCATTTACAAAACCGGTTAATCCAACTTTATAGTACCTGATCAAAAGGATAATCTAGATATCCAGTCTGCATCTTCCATGTTCAATCCAACGATTTTGAAAAAGTCATTCGGGTAATCAAAAATAAATATGGTATAATGACGTTGGACGTTATCTCGTTGAAAGACGACAGAGCAAATTCTCATCTGCAACAAGTTATGGTTTAAGAACTAACTGAGGCATGACAAGATATATCGATCCTCTATCTGGAATCATGCCAAGAAAATAAGATTCATAACACTTATATATTGCCAAATCTATGCAATCATGAAACTTAGATAACGCCTTTTTTAGTTATTTCACCCCAAGCAAGGTAAAACCAGATGCCAGGGGTTATTGAAAGGACAAGAGAAAAAAGAAAAAAACATTATTAAGAAGAGAGAACAATAAAAAAACAGGAATTAAAGCGACAGAAGGTAAAGACATTGCATTTATTTTTTTAAAGTTCAAAGTTGACACGACAGCATGAAATTCAAAGAGAGTTCCACAAGCGTGAAGTGCGAGAGGCAAAAGAGTTTGCATAGAACTCACGGTTACATCGAACTGTAAAATGATGAGACCTAGCTGCCAATCTAGTACTTCGCTTAAACCCGTAAAATCTAGGTAACAAAGAGGAAAACTCATCAGAAGAATTACAATGAAAACATTTATAGATAAGACAGAGGGAATCTATGTTACAGCAGTTGGAATGTGACCGAAGCCAAGACCCCAAGTCAAGGACCGATAACATCAAAGATTCTTCTTTGGATTTTGACAAGAATTTCTAAAATACACCGCAGAAGCATCGGACCAGATGTGCCCGCAATATTCAATGTATGGACGAATTGGTAGAGTTATAAATGTACGAGATAGATTCCAGCGGGAAAAATTGTTTGGCACGACACAGACAATCAATTTTCCTAGCATTAGACCTATAGCAATTGATTCGGTCAAATTTTTCCACTTCATGTCAGCGGAAAACTTTAGTCCAAGAAAGCGCAATGAGTTGAATGTCTTGCGTGTCGGTTTTTGTGCGCATGCGTTTCTCACTGTTGGAAAAAAATCTTTAGGACGCTTCTCTACTCAAACGTGGCAATTCATTTTCCACGATTTACAGAAAGTATACGTAATATTGCAAATTCTGCAGTATGTGTTTTGAAATGCCAAGGGAGTGGGTTGTGAAGAAATACTTAAGGCTTCTATGTCGAAGATACTTTTGTTTTTGTTTATTCATTTGTATTTATAATTTCATTGTTTCATTAAAAATGTTAGGAACAGTATGAATACCCAGTATTTATGTTTTCCTTAGAATAACTGAGAGTAAAATTCCTGTCAATGTCAGACATGTGACTTCTAATAACTGAGAGGCTTTTGAGTGTGTCTTCTTATGTCTTTATATGTGCGTTAAGCTGTGTTTTGTATGAAATTTTCAGTTGGTCTCTTCC